TATTCTAAAAAGTAACAGACAACCTTTGCTTTAAGGACCTGAAATAATTCATTTGATGATGTAGGATAGACAATTTACCTGTTTTTACAATAGTTCTCTCTGAATCTCACTTTAATTTTCTACTCTACACAAAACTCAGCACAAACAAGGGGGGAAAGGTAGCTTTTTCTCACTGAAAGTGGGGCTCACGCCAGGGGGTCGATGGCTTTCTCTAGTTTGCATTAAAAGCCCTGGGGCACATTTCAGAGCGCCTCAGGTAAGCTTCTAAAAGGTCAGCTCCTCATTTTCATGTCTTTTTAAGTTGCTAAATTAAACATTTTTCCCATTAGACTGAAGGAACTATCTTATGGAATTCGATTTGGTCCAAATTTACCAGTGAAAACTGTGATACAGCAGAAAATGATCAAAACCCACTGAAGGCCTAGCTTTGACAAAAGTTTATTCCAAACAACACTGTTCATCTTGCCACAGTTTGCACATAACAGAAAATGACATGAAGTGTAGAATCTGTGTGTAATATCAAAAATTCAACACACACACACACACACACACAATCTACTTTGAAGAACACTCTTTGGTAACTGTTTCAATCGTTTAGTCAAAATATCACATACAACAGAAAAGAAAGGAAGACTGAGAAGGGAAGAGAATTGGGAAAGAAAGGAAAACGCATCACAGCTTGAGACAGTGCCAGGTTTCTCTAGGGACTCTACTGTCCATTGCACCTAACTCTCCACCAGTCATCTTAAACTTCTGTTTTGAAGATGGCGGCAAGTGTCAGATTTGCTGCAGAGGTGAGCTGCTTTCTGGAGAAGAACCTATCACTGCACACTTGATTGAGAAAATATGAAGAAAGCTCTTTTGCTCTAATTAGGGCCCACTATAAGCAATTCATTAAGCCGTGGCCCCATGCCACAAGCCGTCAGGAGGTGGAGCATGGGGCCACCTTCAGAGCAGAGCACACAGACAGAGCCTAATGATGCTTTCCATCAGCCGAGACAGGGCAGGGGTGCCAGGGAGCAGCTCTGGATGAAGGCCGCTCACCAAAAACCCCAGCAGGAGATGGAAAGAACACTGGCTAGTTCAAGTCAAGCAAGCACACTGAGAAGCCCAGACCATGTGACACTCACCAACAAGCTTGGGCCTCCTCAAGGCCAAGTAAGAGCTGCCTTTCTCTCCCACTAATCCAGACTTGGTCTGAGTGCTCTCTGAGTAGCCACCTGGGAAGGACCCTGGTCCCTGGCTGGGCCTCAGATCCCTCTTCCTCTTCCTCCAAGGTCTCAAGGCTGCCTCCACACCACTGGGGCTCAGAGAAAGGTGGAACCAGCCTCCAAGTATGCAAAGGAGGAGGGGAGCTCTTTTTCTCTCAGGGAAGCTCACACAGGAAGGGAGCCTGTGCTTCCTGTCCTAACCAAAGTGAGTTCAGAAATCATTCGGATGTCTGATTTGTCAGACAGGATGGAAAGGGGTGTTCTTTTAGTCAACGGGAATTGTGACTTCCCCCTGCCAAGACATGGCCACAGGAGAAAAGCAGTTGGCCCAGGCCTGTGAAGGACCAATGGCCTACATGCTGAGACTTGGGCTTTTTGACATTAAAAAAACAAACAAACAACAACAAAAAAATTACCAGTTTATATCCCCATTGGCTGAGGTCACACTGGCATCCACTTATTTATCACAGTCAAACATGAAAATGGGAAAACGCCAACGCAAATAATTTGCCAGCTGCCTTTAGATTTTGCCAGCTGTGTCCCTTTGGGACTTTTTCATGAGGAACCAGTAGGATACCCCCAAACCAGGGCAGACATCCATTTCTCCCTTTAGAAAGTTTTTGCAAATCCTATTCCGTTGGCTCGTGTAGTTCATTTGTAACACGTGGTACGACATGCGGAAATGCTTACACATGTCTTAGAAATAATTGCTACATTATCATCCAGCAGCCAAAGGGATGGCACTGAAATTCGAAGACCAGGAGCATATATTCTAGCAATGGGACGGAGTGACCTGAGATACGCAGGCACGTACTGAATTAGAGGGAATGTGAAAAGGCTAAGAGAAGGATGCCAGTGTGAGCCTCACATCAGCACCACAGGGAAACAGCTTTATCGCTGTTTACTTGGGGTGGTGACCCAAGACTCTGACAGAACCCCACTTCCCCAGAGCGCATCATCTCTATTTTGTGTGTGTATGTTTAGTGCTAATTCTCTGACAGTCAAGGATCCTAAAACCTAGATTAAAAAAAACAAAGCAAAAGCAGAAAGCCAAATGTGTCTTTTCTGAGCAGAAACTAAGATCTCTTTCAAGATATGAAATGGAACCCTCTTTCTCTCCCTATGTCCCCAGGAGGGATCACTTGTTGCATTTACATTTTCATGTGTTTCCCTGTAAAATGCAATGCTCACACAGTTAACTAGGGAATGAAGCACCGTGAGAAAACTACAAAAGAGAACAGTCCTGTTCATAGGTTTCTAGTCAGAGCATGCGCTTCGGCTAAAAGGAGGAACCACAATGTCCCAAAACATTTGTCAGTCGTAAAAACAGGCATAGGAAGCTAAGAGTTCCCAAGGAACTCCGAGACGGCTGGTTTGCCTTCTGAGGTTGAACTCACTTAGAACACAGCAAGTGCCACTTATTTTACAGAGAGATTGTTTTGAAGTGTCAAATACTAGAGAGGACATAACCGCTATTCGAGATAGTCTTGACGAATCTTCACTAAGTGCAGTAGCAATCCACGAATGTGCAAACTCTGGCAACCAGTTAAAATCCCCTAATATTATAAAACTAACATTATCTATGCCCAAATTTGCCATTATAAAGAAACCATTTTTATTTTATATTAAAAAGCAAAAAATAAATAAGATGAAGGAAATTTATCCCTCATGTTAGGTGTGCGTTAGTGTTAAAACTTCTTTTATTGACACTTTCCAGCCTCTCTCACTCCATATGACTGTGTGTGATGTGTGCCTGTGTGAGCAGGTGTACACATGTAATTTGTTTCCTGTATATATTAGTGTAAGTAATCCTGATCACACACACACACACACACACACACACACACACACACACCTGCGCAAGCTCACAACCCCCTTGAATTTCAGAAGTTCTGACATTCCCATGAACAGTGTACTGTTATATATATTAACTACATATGAAACACAAAAATTCAAATAAAGGAAAAAAAACTTCCTCAAAGCAAAGAAACATTTTTATACTCTGTATCCAGTGAAGCAGAAAATGCAAGGGGCCTACCGGCCCTGCTGGGCATTATACCTTTTGGCTGATAAATTCACCGTGGTCTTCATTTCCTTAACAATGGAAGCGCCTCAAGAACAACTACAATTTGCTTTCTCTTTAGGACACAAACTTCTCAAAAGAGCCAAACACCCCACTCCCACACTTTCATCTGCAGCCCGTGTCTGCCTGTGAGGCCACCATGGTGTGCTATTAGTGCAACGATGCTCCTAAATTTGGGGGGGGGATGGGGACTTGGGGTTTGGCCTTCCAGTTAAAACACCAATGAATTAAACAAACAAGTACTTTCAACAGCAAAGCCAAGCCATTAGACTTAAAATGTTTTGGCCATCATCTCTAGTGGGTTGTAAGTCTGGGAAGCCCATTTTCTTTTTCTACAATGAAAAGGAACAACGATGTATGTTTGTAGGGAAATATGAAATTATACATGTTTTTACAAAAACATGTTGTATAGTCTGTAAAATACTCCACTGCCATTTACATGGATGTGCCCACATTTGTGTCTTCAACATGTTCTGTGTATTACAGGGTGCCCATCCAGGGGAAGCAGATGAATCTTTTGTTATAGATATTTGTCCCCATTCAAATTTTGAGTCACATTCCAAATAATTTGATTTGTCACTGGAACCATTTGGACACATGCTAACATAATATGAATAATGTTGAAATTCTTACTTTAAAAATCTCATAGAAAAAAATTGAGTGAGTTCAATTAATCTCATGGAACAAATATCGTCAAACAAAGAAACTACTGCAGGCTCTGGGATCCTCTTACAGATGTCACCTCCTCTCCATTCATAATCCAAAGGAACTAACTAATCGTTAAAGGCATTTCAGTGTCTATGAATATTATACATTTTATGCATTTTTGACGTTTTAAATTTTCTTTTACAGGTAAGTAGGACCAGTAAAGACCTATTTCCCTAACACCACTTTGGTTCTGAAAGTTTAAAACAAGGCAGCTCAAAGATGAAAATACGTTGTCTGCAGCAGGCAGAGAAATTATGCGTGGGTAACTTGAGCAAACCGCACGCTAAAATTCACTCTGGGTGGGCTCTAGCCCAAGAGAAAATGGAAACTGCTATGGCCTCAGACCGTCTGTGTTGGTAGCTCTTTGGGTCACAAGATGTCATATTCTGAGCTTCCAAATTTGAAGGAAATCAAAGACTCATAAGACTTCTTGGGAATTACTAGTGATGCTTGGCAATTAAAAAAAAACATTTCAAATAAACTGCAAGCGTCCCGATGCCTGTTTGATAACAGGATCTCCCTGCTATAGTTGCATGACCTAGTTTCATACACTACGATGAGCAAAGTACGTTTTCAATAACCAGATCATTTCCGTTTTGCACAAAGCAAACTCAGACTGGTTCTTACCAGTAAAGCAAATAGTCTCGCACCCAAAATAAGGAAAGTTCTTATCCACGACTTCGGAAAAGCTTGTTTCTGTGATCTCGCTAGATCCGTCCATATAAGCCTACACATGGGCTGGGCATGCTTTTCGTGGGGTCTGCAGGCTACTCAGAAGTGCCTCAGGCTGGCCTGCTCTCGCACCTGCTGCCCCAGCCTAGAAAGGCGGGAGGCTTTGGTTAAAGCTCTCACAGTCTTCAGAAAGGAAAAGATAGACACGGACACTACGGATTTCGAGTGACTTCTCTTTCTTTCCTACTTCTAATTAAAAAAAGAAAAAAGAAAATCCACCAGGTACCCCAAGTTTTCCTACTGAAATTCAATTCGAAAACACTCACGTGGATTTGTGCGCCGCGCTTTGGGGGTCAAGACTGATCCTGGGGCACGTGCGAAGAGCAGCCGGGGAGCCTGGGGCTCCTGCACCCCCGCGGGACCTGCTGGGTCTCCGCCTGCCTCGGCCGAGTGTCCCGGGATGGGCTGCACTGCGCCGGGCTGCGGCTGTCGCCGGCCGGGGCGCGGCCGCGCAGGGCAGGCACTTGTTAGAGTGCCCTGCTAAGTTGGCCGCGGAGCAATTCCCAGCTTTCTTTCACAATGACTTCCTCAAGTTGCTCACTCGCATTGTTCCCCATTTCTCGCCACACTCCCCGCCCCCCAACCCCCCTGCGGCTCCGACCGGGGCTCGGAGCCCCGGGGCCGCCCGGCCGTCCCGCGCTACAGCGCCGCCCGCGGGCAGCGCACCTGGCCCGGGGCTCACCGCGCCCGCCACCTGCGGCCGCCCGGAGCGCGCGCCCCTCGCCCCGCACGCACGGTGGAAACTTTGGGGGGTGTCCCTCGCGACTCTCCCTCCCGCTCCGCTTGTCGACCGTCCCCGAGCCCACCCCGTCCGCGCGTCACACCTCGCGGTTTCGTGACGCCGGCGAGGTCGAGGAGCCGGGTGGAGGACAGCCGCCCCGGCCCCGCGACCCCCGCCCGGGTCCCGCCGCAGACCGCGACTCCGCGACCTGTCTGCTGGGCCGCGCGCGCGCGCGCAAACTTTGCAGCCCGCGCGCGGGGCTCCGGCGCGGCCGCCCGAGGGTCGCCGGGCGGCGGCGGCGGCGGCCACCGGCCGTACCTGCTGGCGCCGCCCGCGGCTGCAGCCCGCTCGCCCGCGCCGGGCCCGCTCGGCGCGCCGCCGCCACCCCCGCGCGCAGCGCGCCCGGGCCCTCCCCTCGCGGCCAAGCTTCCTCATTCCAGCGCAGCATCGCGCCGCTGCCCCGCGCGCGCGGGATGCGGCCACCGGCCGGCGCTTCGCCCGCGGGTCAGCCCCGCTCGGCCGCGCCACTGCGGGACCCACCCGCGCCCAACCCGCGGGGGTTGCGGCGAGTGCGGACCCCGCGGGGAAGGGGGAGGGGCCTCCCGGCCGTAGCGCCCCGCACGCGCGGGACAGCCGCGCGCTCGCCCAGTCGAGGGACTCGAGGGGTAGAAGGGGGACAGTGTATGGCACTTTTTTTTTTCCGGTGTCTAGGAGCACCCGCTGCGTGTGCGGAGCCAAGTCCCTGGGACCTGGACCCCTGGGCTCCCATGTTCGGGGTCAGACCCCCAAGGCACTAATGCCCACCCTAGGGGGTGGGAAAAGTTGATCCTGTGCGGAGCGAGGGGAGGAAGGTGCAGTTCGTTTTCCCGGGCAACCAATGGAATACCTCTCGCGTCTCTTCCCTCCCACCTGCTCACGGCAGAAGTTAGGATGGCGCCTTCCATCCTGGCCTGTGTGCGCGCGCCAGCCAGCGGGGAAGGGGTCCGCGGGCTGAGGAGGTTGGAGCCAAGCAATCCTGCACCTCGGGCGCCTCACACCTCTCCCTGGCGTGTCAGGCACCACGGAGTGCCTGCGTAGAAGAAACAGGACCGCAGCCTCTGACACCGCACCCTTTACACTCTACAAAGGAGCCCGTCGCCGCCGTCGTTCTGATTAGCTGGGCCACACCCGAAGGGGGCCAGGCAATCCTTAACCCTGAGCACAGAGGGAAAAGAAGCTTGAATTCGGCAGACTTAACGGTGTCCCTGACGGGAACTCTTACCTCACCACGTTTCAAAGCCACACAGTAAAGCCCAAAATAAAACTCTGGAGCATCCTTGGGAGCTACAATGGCTGGGAGAGAGATTGTGGGCCTCAAAGGGGGTAAGACACAGGCTTCCAGGGTGTCAAGAGGAGTGAGCCACAGCGACAGGCAGAAGATGTGTCATCAGGACAGTTGAGTGTGGCTGGGGACACAGCTGTCCAGGATGACTGTGATCTGGCTGAGGAGGCTGCCATCGCAAGACCCATACACCTCAGTGTCAGGCTTTGCCCCTGCTGTCCTTTCCACTCTCTGTAAGCCCCATCAACAGACGGCCAAGTTTTCTTGGGCCCCTTAGGCAACATCTATCCAGTTTGTTCTACAGATGTTCCAGTGTTCCATTGTACAGTCAACTGACGGGTAAAAACCCTGGGAAGCCAGAAACTGCCTTGGGGTCCCTTTGCTAGCTCCTGCTTCTCCTGTGTGATCTTTTATAAGTGTTCCAAACTCTGGCTGTCTTCCTTACGTCTAGGAGCATGTTAACTCTCGAGGAGTCCCGTCAGGATTCACTGAGACTGTAACTAAAGTGCAAGGTGCAAGGGAAGGTTAGATCGTTGATAAGGAAGGGGTCTTGGACATCTCTAGTTCTTGGACGCTCAGGCTTCAGATATGTCTCTTTAATGGACTCAGACGTGATCATCCTGGCTAGGTGTCTGCCACTAACCTTCAAGTCCAGATACCGTGGGCTTTCCTGCATTATCTTAGGGTCTTACATCCTCTAAGTCCGTTTCCTGTTATAACTTGGGGGTAATGATAAAATCTTCTCCAAGGGATCATTTGAGAGTTAAGAAGGATCTATATGGAAGATGTTGCCATAATGCCTGAGGAGCAGAAGTATCAGCAAGTGTCTTTTGCTATTTGGCATTCAACCCGTTAACCACCAATATCCCTCTGTAGTGGGGGCACATTGTCAGTAAGGCTAGCATCTACTTCCTGTTCACCCCTCCCCCATCAGCAGATGGAGCTGAAGTAGCTGGTTGTAACTTGGGGTCTCTAGACACATACCAGGAGATCAAAGGTCACTTAAAACACTGATACCTTTAGAGATAACAAAAAACTAAAGATACTTTTATGTATGTCATGTTATTTATGAATAACATGTTTTGCCATTTTCAAAATGCTAGAGAGTTAGCACTTCATGGGTTCGGGGAGATTCACCGAATTGCCAGTTCTACGGTTTGAGAGGGTTTTGCTGAAAGAGTCAACACCACCCATGGAATTAACCTGAGGCTCCGTGTTCCCAGTTTAGTACTGTGAGGACTCCACTGGGGCCTTTGTTCTCACAGGGGCTGGGAGACACTTTAAGGGAAAGTGAATTCTGCAGAGTGGGGGCTGTCTGGATTCTGTGGCTCAGCTAATAAGTTGTCAGTTTCCAGCCTGAGCTCTCCCAACTCCAGGTTCTGCGGTGCACCACCTCCATCTGCAGGAATGCTGGTACTTAGGTGAGACTGGATGAAACAGGGCAAGCTCTTCTTTTTTCTTTTAAAAATTGTTTTTCTTCCCCCTCCCTCCCTCCCTCCCTCCCTTCCACACAGGGCCATATGTATCCCAGGCTGGCCTCAAACTCACTGTGTGACAGAAGATGATACTGAACTCCTCATCCTCCTGCCTCCACCTCCCTCCCAAGCGTTAGGACCACAGGCACGTGTTGCCATGTCCCCCATGCCATTGTTAATACAAGTATAGTTTTCTTCAGTGTTAAAGAATCTGCTAAACAGCTGTCTAATGGATGTTCCTTTTCCTCCAGTCATGGGGAAACAACACACATATGTTTCAAATAATGGGAGAAGAATTCCGTGCTGATCATTTTCCTATAAAGTTAGCTCAGGAGAACTTTGCTAAGTCTGCCCGACAAGGCACAAGAGCCGGGGGCCGGGGCCCTGGAGTTGTATCAAACTATTGTAAGAGCTACCAATCCTTCAGTCTCTCTTTCCCAGTTTTCATAGCTTCTGGCTTCTGCTTCTGTGTCTTTGGACACCAGTGGTGACTGCTAGGGTGGTGACATCCTTGATCCTGGCTTCAGGTTCCCGTACTGGTTTCCTTCCCTTTACTCACAGACCACAGGCTCCCACCTCCTGCTGATGTGAGGGAACAACAGACTGAGTGACAGGTGAGGGTCCCTCTGGCCATGGCTGACTGGGAAGCCTCCCCAGGAGCCCCAGGAGAAACCCCTCTGTGAGCTGCTCCCTTGGCAACCAGGAAAAGGTCCCCTCTGTCCCTTCCCTGGCTCTGCTTCTGAATATATTCACACCCCAGACTCGTTCCCACCCACATCTCATGAAGGCGTGCCACAGCTCACAATCGTTTTCCATTTCCTCAGAAATCACTTTTTTATTTCTGGATTTGTAAGATCTGGTCCTCAGATGTTCAAAAATAATTGATTTTTAAAATTAATATTATTTTCTTAGATTGACAATTAAAGTCAGAAACCATTGAAAAAAATTCTGAAAACGTTTTGAGTAAGTGCAGACAAACAGATAGTCCTCTTACCAGAGAAAGCCAGAATGAAGCCAGTGTGTGGCAAACTCTGTTAGCTTTGCTAGACAAGAAAGGTTTGGAATGCCTTTTTTGAAAATATAAACATGCAGGTAGCATGTAACGACTTACTTGTTCAGAAAGTGCTTAGCTATGATTTCAGGTGCTGTTTGACACACTAGGCATCACAATAAGGCATGAGGTGTGGTCTTGTTCTCCACAGGGTTCAGAATCTAGCTCAGGAGAAGGACAGTCAGATAATTTCATTTCATCCCAAAATATGTCCTGAAAAACCCTCTTAGACCATGAAGAGTGGAACTCGGTGGTTGCTAGAGCCAGGCGAACTTCATGGGCGGGTGAAGGGAGGAGAGCAGAGAAGAGGGTCCAGAGCAAAAGGGGGTGCTTTCTTCTCCACAGTCCCCTCGCCAAACACACAAACAAAACAACACCTGCACAAAGATGAGCGCTGGTCTGTAACACCCTCCCTGAACCTGACTCTGCTCTCTGATGGGCGTTCCCAGGCCTGACAGCCACAGTAGGTGCAGCTCTGCTGTCCCAGTTTTACCTAACATTGAAAAAGACAGTCACTCCTCTGTGGTTGAGACTAGCAGCTGAGGGACATGAGCCTGAGTAAAGCTATTCGCATGACCTACAGGCAGCAGGCTTCTCTATGCCTCCGTATCATTTTTGTAAAATGGGGAACGTAATCATCATAACAACAGCAATAATGCCTTGCTCAGAAATGTTTTGGGATCTAGATGAGTTGACGTGTGGTAATCCTGCAGTGGCTTCTAAGCATGCCTATGGGTTTTAGTATTTTGCAGAATTCGGTTTTTAAGTGGTTGGGTTGGGATACAAATCTTGTCAGTTTTCTCAACCGTAAGGTCATCTTCTCTTTCCAGTCACCTTTCAATCCAGGAGGCCCCTTCCTCTGCGTTCTTCCTGATTACTCTCACTGCTTTCTCCAGTTGCCTCTTCCGCTGCCCTCACACTTCCCCTGCTTGCAGGAGCCTCTGAAGGTTCTTAAGATGTCACTCTAGCAGACAGACTGTCTGGAAGATG